GTTCAATTACTCCCTTAGGCTAGATTCCCATGAACAGAATTGCTTAGTCAAAAGGTTGACATGTTTTTTAAAGGTTAGATACATATTAGTCAAAGTCTTCTAAGCTTCTCTGATCTTTGTAATTCATTGTTCCTTTCTAAAAATGTGTAACTGTCTTCTGAGTTCAAGGATAGATTTTTTTTTTTTTTTTTTTTTTAATACGGGGCTTCTTGTTCTCCTTCCTTCCTTTTCCTTATTTCTTCAAAATGTTTAACAAAATAATACATTTTCAAAAGGCATTATGCTTTATCTTGTCAGTATTTCCAGTACTTTGTGTCTCCTGGAGTTTATGCAATGGGAGTGTGTGCACAGATGGAATATGTTCTACCATTTGGCTTAATGACAATTTTTCACACCACTAATTTTCTTTCTTTATTTCATTTTTTCTTTTAAGCCTCACAAGAATTGAAGTAACATATATAACATATACTAATTTTGTTTTCTTGATTTCAATATATGTAAATTAGGGGGGACTGCCTGGTAAGGATGAATGATGTGTCAGAGCTCTAGAAGACAAAGCTCTCACCTCTGTCTCTAACTTGTTTTATGACCTTGAGGTAACCACTTAATCATTCTGCATTTCATTTTCCTCATTTGCCAAATGACAAAGTGAACTAAATGACCTTGAAAACCTATTTTTTTTTAAGTGTCAGTCTATCCAAGACTCAAGTTGATCTTTGAAAAGTATTGTTTGAAATTAGGGCAAATACGTCTGTGTGTTGGTTGGGCAGAGTTGGAGGCTCTAAAGATTGGTTTCAACATATTAAAAATATTTTGTGCTCTGACGCTTGACCAAGGCCTCCTAACAGTGTGCTTTAGTGGTTTGTGAAACATATTTCTAAGGCCAAGGTAATTATAGTTGTTCCACTGAAGCATGACAAATGGCCCCTCACTATGAATTCTTTTATGGGAAAGAAAAACCTTCCATGACAACAGCCCTGGAACTTAATGACAGGCTTCAGATCTGGGGGCAAGAATAGAGACAGTCATTGGCTGCAGTCAAGAGAGAGAAGGCAACAGCATGGGCTCACCTGGGAAGAATCAGGGCAGAGTGATGTAACAATAACAACAATGACATTAGTGGGGCTCTGCTGAGAACTTGCAGAAAAATATAAAAATTTGACAGGATGTTGTCCCAAAAATTTCATATACACTATCTCATTTAATTCCCACAATGCGGCCGGTTGCAGTGGCTCACACCTGTAATCCCAGCACTTTGGGAGGCCGAGGCGGGTATATCACAAGGTCAGGAGTTTGAGACCAGCCTGGCCAAGATGGTGAAACCCCGTCTCTACTAAAAATACAAAAATTAGCCCGGTGCGGTGGTGGACACTTGTGACCCCAGCTACTCCGGAGGCGGAGGCAGGAGAATCACTTGAACCTGGGAGACAGAGGTTGCAGTGAGCCAAGATTGTGCCACTGCACTCTAGCCTAGGCAACGGAGCAAGACTCTATCTCAAAAAAAAAAAAAAAAAAATTCCCACAATGCCCCTAAGAGATAGGTTATGAGGTAGGTACTTTTATTTTTTCTGTTTTACAAAGATGAGCATTGGGAAGTTCTTTAAGAAAGAAGCTAGATAACCTCCTTCGAATTATTCAGCCATTAGTTGTCAGAGATAGGATTTGAATGCTGAGAGTTCATTCATTCATTTAACACGTTTGTTTTGTTTTGTTTTGAATGCCTGTTACGTGCCAGGCACCCATCTAAAGGCTGGTGACACAGAAGCGAATGAAGCAAAATTCCTGCTTTTATGGAGTTTGGCTAGTAGAGGATGAGACCAGTCATAACAAACCAATAAATCAATAAATAATTTCAGAGGGCAATAGTGCTATGAAGAAAAATCAGCTCTCTGTGAGGAGAGTGACTGGGGTAGAGGGAAGGTCACTTTACAGGAACTTGGCAGGGAAAGCCCCTGGCTGGTGACATCAAGCTGAGCCCTATGCGATGGAGCCAGTGAGCCATGCAGTGAACTATTGGAGGGCCTTTTACCTGCAGAGTCCATCAGAGCAAAGGTCAAGGACTCAAAAGAGCTTGGCTTGTTCTAGGAACAGATAGAAAGCCAGTGTAGTTGGATAAATGAAAAAAGGGAAAAATGTCTACAGTGGAGTCAAAGAGGTGGGCAGGCTCCCGATGTTGCAGGACCCATGGGCCACAGTAGGATGCCTGGATTTTATTCCACGTGCAGGGAAGGCCTTGGAGGATTTTACACTAGGAAGTGTTGTGATCTCCAGTCTCTGCCGGCAGATTTCTTCCTCTAGGTTATGTTGCCAACAAGGAGCATCTGGAACGCACTAGGTTGTTTATGTAGCCCACAGCCTAAAGGAGTATTAACTTAGGGGCCAGCGTTTCAGATGAAACAAAACTGTAGGGTTTCCACAGAACAACAAGACTGAAATGGACAGCTAGAGGTCTCCCTAGCTGAACTTCTGACTTTAGGTAAGAAGACCTTAGCAGATCCAAGTGTAGCATCTGGACTATACTAAAGACCTTCAGAAAGGGAACTTCATCTTCTGTCTTGAGACCTTCCCTGAGTATATAGAAGGCGGTGCTCTAGATACTGAACTTGTTTGACCACTTCTTGGTCTGGAGGTTGTGCTTGCCTCATAGAATAAGCCTCATCCAAAATAACAAGACATTACAGCTTTGAGTAGGTGGCATCTCAGGGATTTGCATTTCTGTGTAATCTAGTGTGTGTGTGTGTGTGTGTGTGTGTGTGTATGTGTGCATCTATTTGTCTTTGAAAAAATATTTTTGAAGATGCCTTCAACATTTTAACATAGAGAACCGGGGCACGTTGGCTCATGCCTGTAATCCCAGCACTTTGGGAGGCTGAGGCAGGTTGATCACTTGAGGTCAGGAATTCAAGAGCAGCCTGGCCAACATGGTGAAACCCCATCTCTACTAAAAATACAAAAATTAGCTGGGTATGGTGGCACATGCCTGTAATCCCAGCTACTTGGGAGGCTGAGGCAGGAGAATTGCCTGAACCTAGGAGGCGGAGGTTGTGGTGAGCCAAGATCATGCCACTGTACTTCAGCCTGAGCAACAGAGTGAGACTGTCTCAAAAAACAAACAAACAAACAAAACAAAAAAGAAAAAGCAAAAACAAAGGGCCTGGCATTTCTGTTGAGGGGGCATTGTATGAATGGGACTAGAATTTGTTTTGTAAACTCAGCAACTTGGTTAGTTTTATTTGAATGCTCTTTATAAACAAACACGTTAACCCATTGAAATTGATTTATGTCGTCTATGGGATGAAATTAATTGGTTGGGTTAAAGTCTCACTATTATAAGACACTGTTCTCTTACTTTGACAAAAATATTCAGAGTTAATGAACACATTGATTTAGCAAAACCCAGTTTGAATAACATGGTAAACCATCACTAATGCACTGACTGTGTGTGTGCCTAGGTGGCCGACTATCCCTCTGTAGGTTCTTGACAATTCAGTCCTAACAACACAGATTTGTTTGTATGAAATGAGCATGAGAGGCATTTAGTTGAGCACTGTGATATGGTGGGCCCCAGAGAGCAAGGTAATAATTGTGAAAGAATTCAATTTAAGCTGCACAAGTGAGTAGGATTTGGGGAAGAATACCACCCTTGAGTTAGTTTTTATTTATGAAGAGCCTATTTGTTTCTCAGGTGGAAAAACATTCTCAAACCACCTTACTTCATGAATGAGGTTAGAAAAGTCTAATGGAGCCAGGTGCAGTGGCTCCTGCCTGTAATCCCAGCACTTCAGGAGGCCGAGGCAGGTGGATCACTTGAGGTCAGGAGTTCAAGACCAGCCTGGCCAACATGGCGAAACCCCACCTCTACCAAAAATATAAAAAATTGGCTGGGTGTGGTGACACGCGCCTGTAATCCCAGCTACTTGAGAGGCTAAGGCAGGAGTATTGCTTGAACCCAGGATGTGAAGGTTGTAGTGAACCGAGATCATGCCACTGTACTCCCGCCTGGGTAACAGAACGAGACTCTGTCTCAAGAAACATTTAACAGGACAGGAGCACAAGGACAAGGGTAGTCTAAGGGCAGGCTGTGTGGTACACCAGAGGTAGAGGATGACGAGAACAGAGTTTCTGTATCTAAAGGTGCTGAACTAGAAAACTCTCAAGGTTCCCCCACATCAACATTCTGTAGTTTGGCCAAAAAGGATTTTTTTTCTTCCTATTTGCGTTAGAGCGTGGCTTCCCAAGGCCTTATAGCTGTGAGTGCAGGACGACTCTAACAACTGCATCAGAATTATAAATTCAGCTGTCAGCATTGGGATGGTTGAGTTGACTGAACAAGCAGGTTTTCTCTCATTGTCTGTTTCCTAGATGGATGAATAACAATTTCAGCCTCTCCACTTTGTTGTAACTCTGTCAGTCTGACATTTCTGAGTGCTGAGAGGTTTGTGGAAATTTTCTAAGTCACACATTGAAGTTAATTCAAGGAGATAATGCAATTCCGATGGAATCATCAGTGCCTCTGCTGTCAGATCAAGTATTTTAGGAGTTCAGTTGGTTGAGTTGCACAACTCTACAGATTTAATACTACATACTTGCTGCTTTGCGTCTTGCCCTCAAGTCTTAATAAATGGGCTAAAGGTCTGATTGGAAACTGTGAGATAAATTATATGTTTACTATGCCAAGTTAAGTAAATACCATTTGAAAGGATTACTAGAGGGTACAATCAAGTTAATTGCTTTAAAAATCTTTTTTGATTTACTGGGCTCTGTGAAAATTGTTAAGCAATTGATCTGCCACAGTCCATGAGCTGAAGAAAGTGGTGCTGAGTCCACAAGGTTTCCATGCACATCCCCTCCCCTGTGCCTGGAACTGTCCCCTAAATGAGAAGAGAGTCCCCCCGAGACCCACATGCAAGTACTGCAGACAGACTGTTGTTCCTCCAGAGAAGACACATGTTGACAGCTTGACGTTCAGGCTGATGATGGATTTCTTTTTTTTATTCTAGATGCTGAAGAATACCAGCCTCCAATATGGAAATCATACCGTGAGTACCTGAAATGAAAATCTCCCCAGAAGTCTTTAGCAGGCCAGCCTTTTTGAACAATTCTTGCCAGCGATGTGGTGCACACAAGTGTTCCCACCTCACAGCATTGAAAACTCAAATCTTTCTTTCCACTGAGGAAAAAGATTAGTCAGAGAGGATTAACTGAGCCTCCTCCTCTTACCAGGGGCTCCAAGAACCAGCTGTGGCCCATTTCAGAAATGCTTGGAAAAGACAGGTGGACTTTCTGACTCTCTGCCTTTCAGTTTGGGGCTTTATTTTTATTTATTTTTTTATACCGTTGATTGGCAAGTGACAATGTGTTGATTTCTGTGAATTATGTTTTTGGCCAATCATTCTAAAGATAAAATATTATGTGACATCAACCGCTGAAAAATGAACAGATAGTAAAGAACCATGTTTGGTCACCAAGGGTGACTCTTAGAAACAGATCCTGCCTGATCATCAGTCACCCACCTAGCTCCCCTCATGAAGGCAGGTGGCTGTCATCACCTAAGTCTTGTCTTCTCTTTCCTTAGTACTATATGCTTGACTCGGGAACTCCCCAGTGAGAGAGGGCAGGACTGTGGTAGGAGGAGCCCACTGTGTCCAGAGCCAGGGGACTCAGGTCCTGGCTCAGGCTCCACTTCTGCCATCATTATTAGCATTCCTAATAAAGCTGCCAGGGTTACCACTCCCCATCAAGAACCTGCCCTGTGCTGGCCACCGCACCAAGCAGCCAAGTCCTGAATTCTTACCATAGCTCTGAAAGATGGGGACCATTTATTTATTTATTTTTTTTTTTGAGACAGGGTCTCGCTCTGTCACCCAGGCTGGTGTGCAGTGGTGCATTCTCAGCTCACTGCAACCTCCACCTCCCGGGCTCAGGTGATCCTACCCGCTCAGCCTCCCAAGTATGTGGGACTGTTACAGACGCCACCACACCCAGATAATTTTTTCTATTTTTATTAGAGATGGGTTTTGCCATGTTGCCCAGGGTGGTTTTGAACCCCTGAACGGAGACAATCTACCAACCTTGGCCTCCCAAATTGCTGGGATTTCAGGCATCAGCCACCATACCAGGCCTATGGGGACTGTTATTGTCTCTATTTCACATGTAAGGAAACCATGGCTCGGGGAGGCTAAGTAACTTGGTGAAGTATTCACAAAAAGTAGTGGGGTAGCATTCTGAGTGGAACCCACAGCCTGCGTGTGTCCAAGACTTGTCCATTCTATTCAAAATCTTATATATACATAAGTGCATGTATACACACACACATATACACATATTATATATCGATATATAACATATACATACAGCCACACACACACACATAAATATATATGTATGTATTTGTTACAAAAACAATACAAAGCTACATAAAAGACAGACATTAGGGAAATATGTAAAACTGAGAGTAAAAATTTCCCAACATCCACAAATTCCCCACCCCATATTCCAGTTCACTCTCCCCTTTGCCAGTTGCTGAACTCTCTGAATTTGGGGAGGCAGATCCTTCTGATTGTTTAAAAGCACGTGCTTCATGTTAGGCATTTTCGTTGTTGTTGTGTAAAAATGGCTTTACGCTGTGTCTTTCAGCTTGCTTGTTTCACTTCACAAACATCTTGTTTTTATCTCTCCTTGTCAGCACGTACAGAGGCACCTTGTTCTTCGTTACATAAGTCCATTCTTCCATCTGTGAAATAATGGGGCTGTGCTGGGTCTCTAAGGGCCCTTCCAGTCTAATGCTCTGCATTCCGATCTTCTATTTTGAAAGGCCGTGCTAATGACTTAGTAATTGGATGTTTTTGTTTGTTTGTTTCCTAATGGAGTGTGAAGAGCTCTGACAGTAAATCAACAGAATATCTGTAGTGAGAGGCATTGGGTGTTCCATGGCTTCCTGTGCTTTGCACACTGGCTCACACATGGCCTTGCATACATTAATGACCCAATAAATATTTGTTGAGAGAATGCCACCACAGAGAGCTTTGCTGAAGCAAAAAGATGGCATTGGCTCAAATTCATTTTGCCTTCTTTTAAGAGACCTTGGGCCACCCGATTAACATCTCTTAAAAGTACTTCTATGTCTTGAGGAAGCTGGAAAATCTTTGGTACTTAGTGTTAACAATATCAATTTTAACCCTTCTGTATTGGTTTTAAGTTTGATTTTTGGATCTAACCAAGTTGTGTTTTTTAAAAAATTTTCTATGTAATCATAAAACTTTACTTGCAAAAGTTCCTCTTTATTATATCCAACTAATAGTCATCCAGGCTCCATTTGAGAGCATCTAGTGATGTAGATCTCTGAAAGTGAGGGGAGTATGCCATCCATGGCATCAAAAACGTGTTGACCAAAGCCCTACAGACCACCAGTGAGGAAGAATTCTCTTTTGGTCATCCTGGATCCATGAATTATTTGAGTTTGGGTGTTGGACCACATATGAATTATCAAGCTCATGCTACTCCATGTTTTTCCCAAGAATATCATCCATTCATTTAATCTTTCAGCAAATACATTCTAAATGTCAGAGGATAAGTGTTAGAAATCAACAATGAATAAAGTGTGGTTTATACTTTCCTCCAATGTACAGTCTAGTCAAGGAGACAGATGTAAACCAATAAACTTAAAATGCAAATGAATTCTGGTAACAAAATGCTACTCTTCTATCTCCTGGGAAAGAAGACTATAGAAGTCAAATTTGCATGTGGGTCTTGAAGGATGACTAGGAGAAGGAATCTGAGGGCCTTCATGAGATGCTTTTTAAAAAATCCAAGTATGCTAAAATGGTATCATTTTCCTGATATGAAAGTCCAACAAAGCTATCAGAATATTGAATTTGTCTTATTTTAAATAAACTGTTGGTAAACCCGTTCTGAACCCCAGGAATTACCAAGCCTTTCTCTTTGAAATGTTCACAGATTATCCTTTGAGAGGTTAATTTTAGATACTGATGTCTAACTCATTATCATATCAGGTATGGAATCCATATTCTTTCATCACACACTTTTTTAAACTCTAGCAATTTTCGGTACTATCAATTCTCTCATGTATTTACTAGATACAGTATATTTTTGCCATAGCATAGGACTTGGTTTAAAAATTTATTATTTGCAATGATTAGACAAGTAAGTAGCTATATCCTTGTTTTCATTGACGTTTTTTGGCCATAACTTTGACTTATTTAATGTCAGATTCTTGTTATGAAGCACTAGCCTCAATTATGGCATTATTCCTACAAGAAAATTTGTTTTAACCAGGCATGGTGGCATGCCTTGTAGTCCTAGCTACTCGAAAAGGCTAAGGTGGGAGCATCACTTGAGCCCAGGAGTTTGAGGCTATAGGGAGCTGTGATCATACCATTGCACTCCAGCCTGTGCAACAGCGAGACCCTGTCTCTAAAAAATTTTAATTTAAAAAGAAAAGAAAATTAGTCAATTTCTAATGATTCATTTTAAGAAGCGGTTTCTATGTTTTATTCTTGGCTGCAAGCAACAGAATACTACTCTCAATCACATTGATTGACTTAAGCCAAAAGTCCAGAGGCACTGACTTCAGACATGACTGTTCCAGCAACTCAAATGACATTACCAAAATCCAGTGTATATTTCTTCCTTTCTTGGCTCTGCTTTCCTAGATTTGACTCTACTCTTACTATGTTCTTCCCTTGGGATCCCCCTGTAACTATCAACAATATCAGGGCAGTGGCTTTCTTATCCAAAAGCAACAGGCAAAGGGACAGTCTGCTTTCTTGATACATCTAACAAAGTCTCAGAATTGAGTCTCAGCCCTAATTGACCTAGGTTACCCATTTCTGACTCTATCACTGTGGTCAGGGATGTGCTGACTGCCCTAAACCAATCAGGACTCACCACTGGAATTCAGGAAAGGATCAACCCCATATAACCCTGTATAACATGATTGGAAAATTTGGAGTAATATTGGAAGCAGGAAGATGAAAATGGATGCTGGGAAGGCAACCATAAATATCTGGCTAAGAAATTTAGAAGAGTAAGAGTAAGAAATCAGCTCTCTCAATATTTTATATAAATTATAGTGTTCATTAATTTTACTCCTTCATTCAACAAATGCATATTAAGTCTCTGTCTTAAGCCAGACACTGTGCTTAGAGTTGGGCCACAAAGATGGATAAGATCGCAAGGAACCATGATGCCACGTGATGGCCTTTAAGTCCCTGCCCTCTCTGCTCCTTTCCTTTTCTTAGAAGCTAACTTCATGGCTCACTGAGCTGTTTCCGTAGAATAATCTTGTCCCAAAGTACCATACATCTGCAGCTAATTCTTAACTCTCAAGACTGAACACAAGAAACATTGATGAAGTCACTGAGAAAGCTTTGGTTTCAATGCTCTAAAAGAAAAGCTACTTTCTTTTCTTTTTTTTTTTTTTTTTTTTTTTTGAGACGGAGTCTCGCCTGTTGCCCGGGCTGGAGTGCGGTGGCCGGATCTCAGCTCACTGCAAGCTCCGCCTCCCGGGTTTACGCCATTCTCCTGCCTCAGCCTCCCAAGTAGCTGGGACTTGGGACTACAGGCGCCAGCCACCTCACCCGGCTAGTTTTTTGTATTTTTTTAGTAGAGACGGGGTTTCACCGTGTTAGCCAGGATGGTCTCGAACTCCTGACCTCGTGATCCGCCCGTCTCGGCCTCCCAAAGTGCTGGGATTACAGGCTTGAGCCACCACGCCCGGCGAAGAAAAGCTACTTTCAAGTTCACTTAAAAATAATAATAAAGCTACATTCTAAACGTTAAGCCAGAACTGTATAAACTTTTTGCCTCGAGCAGGCAAGTTCAAAAGCCAACCACCATGGTTATGCTCTGAAAGATTTTCTTTCTTAAGAGGCCAAGTGCCAATTAGGCAGCAGATGCAGTGGCTGACAGCTCTCCCTGGAGGCTCCCCTGGGCAGCAGGTCATGCAGGCATAGCTTGTGCCTGTTTTACAGATATGAAATTTAGAGCCTCAGAACCCTGATCTACAGAATCCCAGCAT